GCCACTATTTTTTTCTCTCAAATACTGTAATTTGTTTCTCAAATTCTATAAATCTCCTGGCAAGACCTCTAATGTTTTCTTTCCCAAAAGTCACGTGTGTATCACAATCCCATGTTCATTACTAATATTATGGAGAGCTATGAAGTGTCTGAGAGTTTGTACTATTTGCCATAGTTTCCTAGATGCTATAAGAAAAAATAAACTACTGGATCAGAGACAAGAGCTTTGCTAGTCACAGCAATAGGAGCAGCCACCATTAATATTGTCTGTAACATTTCTTTAGGTGCACATTGCCTCAGAGTGATGGGTAGGAAACCCTACCACTGTCAGTGGACTGCAAAACAGGGGAGTAGTGCAGAGTTTAGAAAGCTTTACTGCTTTGGGGCGAGCAGGAAGTATGCCAGCTCAGTGTTCCAAAGACAGACAATATCTTTAATTGCAATGCTATAAACAAACTTGTACCTTTGCCTTCAGAAAAAAAGCCCTATCTTTATTCTGCAAAGCTACTTCCTATACAAACATTCTTTAAACAGTAGGTCAGAACTAAAACAATGGGGTCGCTATTTATAAAATGAGAAGAAATAGGAGTGATTTATGAAGAATTGTCCACCAATTCCTAAATCATAACGCTTGAAAAGTTATTTGCAAGTTTTTGTTGTTAGCATTGAGAATACAGTGGTGACTTAGAAACAATTCTTGTCATGTTACAGAAAGCACAGATGGCATTAGTATGTTGGGAGTAGTGATGCCCACTAAAAATAAAAGCTAATTATATTTATAATATATAAAATATTCATATATAAAATATATTTATGCATAATATATGTATTTGTATATTATATACATAATATATAAATATATATTTAAATATATTGAAACATAAGATCAGTCCCAAGGCAACAATTGATTAGTTTTTGCAATGTAACTGAAAATGTCCTTCAGTCAGTACACTTCAGTTTCTTAGATGCCCGTGTAATAGTTCCTGTTCCTGTTCCAGTTCCTGTTTTTTCTGTCTCAAAATCAGCTGCTTACTGTGCTGCATAGCTGGTTACTATGATGCACATTGTATAAACCTATCCCTAATTGATCAGCCATTCTGTTGTGTACTTCCTGCTTGGTTATCTCGTACAAATCCTAGACCACCAGAGACTGAGTCCTGATATTCTGGGGCTGATCCTAATCAGTGCCTGTCAAGCAAAATACATCTGCCTCTAAATCCTAGGTGTCATTTCTGCTTGCCATTACACTAGTATGTTACCATAACAGCAAACATCAGAAAATGCAACTACCAAGCAAAGCAGGAACTGTTACCGGAAGAAAGTTTGCCTTGAAAACACAAGGTTAGAAAACACAAGGTTAGAAATCTACAGGGAAGGAAGCGCACATCTGGCATTTGTTGTTGTTGTTGTTTTTGTTTGTTTGATTGTTTTTTTTTGTTTTTGTTTTCCTATTTGGAGTTTGCTATTTGTATCCAGGATCTATGACCTAGTAGCAAGTTGTTGTAGCCTAAAACCTATTTGCCTATCACAAAAATGGGTCTGGAGCTGGACAAGAAGGAGAGTTAAGCTTATGCACAGCTTATTCAAATCACCTGGCAAGGCCTTCGATGGGAAAATGCATGAAATTTGGAGGAAAATGCAAAGATTAGTAATAAATAAGAGACCAGACTCTATACCCGTGCCAATTTGTGCCACTTTTGCTGCACTGACTTTCGCAGACCTTAGCCTAGAAGATTTTGAATTTTAAGTTTATGGAAGCTGGAACTATGTCTTCTACTTAGAATTTGAATAATAATCACAAGTGAATACAGACAAGTTAAAGGTTAAAATGATGAACAGAAAAAGTCTCTGTCAAAAGTAAGGAAGAACTTCCCACTTGAGTGTCAATAAATACCTGTGTGCATGAGCAGTAGTGACATGGGTGTGTATGGGGTAAGTGTGAGCCCTCCTGATATGAAGAATAAGACGTTTAATCCTCAATCCTTCTGTCTCTATCAATGTTGGGGTAATAGGACTCCTTTTTGAAATGGCACATGCGTGCCTTTAGGAAAAGAAAATTGAGCAAGAAGGAAATACCCTGATCCCTTTTGTTCTGTTTGTACTTCTTGAGGCTTATCTGTAGGGAGGCTGATCACTTTCTGTTATAATAAGAAATATGTATGTGTGTTATGAGAGCTTTTCAGCATTGGTAATTGAGAAATCTGATTGTTTCACAGAAACCAAAGAATATGAGAACACAGAGTAAACAGTTTTCCTGCCTTTGGCAATATATAACATACAGCAAGAAGAAACCTTGATCTGGACTAAGTAATAGGATACGGGGTGGGGATTAAGCTCTGTCAGTGGTGCAGTGCCTACCTGGCCAGCATGGCATCCTGAGTTTGATTCCTGGTCCTCCCACCACCAAAAAGTGATAGGGTAGAAGTATAGAGAAAAGCTGATACAATAAAGGTCCCTCTCTAAGTATATATCTGAGGATAGTCAGACTGAAACATTAAATGTTTTCCACATTCAACTGCTTCTGCCTTAGTATTTACCAGATATATTACTGAAACTATTTTATCAATAAGCTGCTAAAGACTTGCATAAAGGAGTAATCAAAATATTTGGTAAATGTTTAAACTTTTAAAGACAGGTATGACTATAATACACACACACACACCATTAAGCCTTTGTGAAGTATCACCACACACACACACACACACACACACACACACACACACACACACACAGAATTTACACATATTTATTCCTTCCATTGTTCTTATCAGTTGCTGAAGAGGTTCTGGAAGTTCTAGCATATGAGTATGATCAAATGCTGAGTCCTCTTGCCATATACCGTCCAATGGAAAGGACAGCTTGCAGAATACATGACAGTGGGTCCCCATGCATCTTTCTCACTGGATCTGGCACCAAGGGACTCTGGCTCTTCTTCAAAGTTAAAATGACCATGAAAGGTAAATTTTTCAGCTCAGGACACTGAAGCAGCCATGAAAACAAAGCTAAACAGACTATAAAGAAAGACTTCAAGAACTGCTTCAGAAAGTGGCAAGAATGGAGGAATAAAGATGTCTTGGCTATGAGAGGGCTTTGAGCCGCAATAATAGAAATATATATTTTATAGTAATAAATTTTATTAAATATTTTCTATCTTTAATATTTCATAGTATTTTGACACCCTATTGCCATCAATATCAATGAATAGAAGTACTAACAATTTTTCTGCATTTCAGCAAAAGCAATTTCATCTCCACTTAATTTTGTGTCATCCATCTAGATTGTTCACTGGAGGAAAACAATCCTGGTGAAAACTTCAGCTAAATAATACGATTAAGCAAAATTACAATATTTTTCCAAATGAGACAAAATAGTGGGTTTAAATTAAATATTTTCAGAATATTGAAAAAAATAAGACCTGCAAGTCGCCAACATAGCTACAACAAGTGGTTAAGGAAAAAACATCACATCGTAAGCATCAAATTTAAAGACATGAAATTTAAGTTCTGCTGCATGAAACTAATGACCACGTGCTTAAATGAAGCGCATGTATGCAATTTATGTATGAAATAAAAGACTTCAGAAAAGTAATCAGTGTCGGCTGGACTGTTAAGACAAAATTTGTAGTACACAAAACAAGGCTGAAAGAAAATAGAATTTGTTAATTACTGGGACAAGGAGGTATTTTTAGAAGAATTAACTGCATATCCATATAAAACAAATGAAAGATTAGCTTGACAAGAGAAGATACATCTAGTTAGAACAGGATTGATTTTGCAACGTTTCAGAAGTCATTTGTTATTCTTTTACTAAAATCTTAGGGAGGAGGTGTTAGTAAAATTATTCTGGCAGCAAAGTACAAATAGCCAGACACAGAGACAGACTGTATAAAAGAAGATGAATGAAGAAGACTTCTGCAGTGGTGCAGGAGAAAATCAGGAAAAGCAGGCAGCCATGGGAAAGTAAGCAAGCCCCAAAGGAAGAAGCCACCGTGCGACAACCAGCAGAAAGGTGAGTTGTAGACAGAGAAAAAAAGTCTCCATTGTTGTTAAGATACAAAAATAAAAACCTAAGTGTAGGATGATAATAAATATGAAGGAGCAAAGTACCGGACCATTTAACAAATTAGGGTATTTGATTTATTCCACAAACATCAAATATCTCATTTCTGCAAATTCCTGAAAATAAGAAGAGTACCGTTTCAACATCGTGAGCGGACAATGTACAGTAATTAGAGCAATTTTGAGAAAGTGCAAGACAGCGTAAACGTGTTTAAGAAGAGAAGCCTACATTTTCAGTAACGTAGGGGCAACTTTATTTGGAAAGCTCATTGAAGCTGACTTCCCAAGGAATGTACTTTGATTTGTTCACAAAGCTGGCCTGACAGCAGGCTTGAGTGTGTGTGTGTGTGTGTGTGTGTGTGTGTGTGTGTGTGTGTGTTGGAGAGCTGGAGGAGCCCCTGAGCAGCAGCTGAGTTTGGAAGGCTGGGGGTCCCGCAGAGCTTAGCAGGAGGAGGTGCAATGCCCGCCCTGGGCAGGGGTGCGTGCACCGCCCCCCGGGGTTGCAGCGCGGAAGCCACAGGCCCTGGGCCGCCCTGGGCCGCGCTCCTGCAGCCGGGGCTCCGGGCCACTCCCCCGCCGCCGCTCTCCACGCCAGTCACCGCCTCCCGCCTCCGGGCTCGGCTTTCTGTAGGGGAGTGGGAAACGGGGGAGGGGCGGAGGAAAGAAAAACGGTCAAAAAAAATATTAAAAAGCAAACATCCCACTTGGCCACGGGCGCGCGGGAAGTTCCGCGCCGAGTTCCGGGTTGGCCCGCGCCGCTCCGTCCGTCCGTCCGTCCATCTGTGAGTCTGTCCGTCCCGCCCGCACCGCTGCCCTCGGGCTGCGCCTGCAAAACCTGATACCGGGGTTCGGGTCCGGCGGGGCGGCGACTGGGGCGCACTGCTCCCCACCACCGGCGCAGCTGGGCCGGGCGCTGCAACTCTACACCGGCCAGCGAGGCCTGCTCTCCTCCGGAGGCGGCCGCCCCGCGAGTCCGCGCGCAGCGGTTTGTCCTGCAAACCTCGGAGATCAATAGGGTCACTTTTGGGGGAGGGGGTTGCATGCGCTGGGGGAGCCGTCTCTGAACCACGGACCCGAGGGGACCCGGAGGGGACCCCAGGCCACCACGATGGACCCCCGGAGCTGGGGTCCGGCCCTGCGCTCGCAGGAGGAGGCCGGCAGCGCCCAGGGCGGGGAGGTGAGCGTAGCCGCCAAGTACCGCCTGGCCTCGCTGTACGTGGGGGACCTGCACGCGGACGCCACGGAGGACCTGCTCTTCCGCAAGTTCAGCGCCGCGGGGCCCGTGCTGTCCATCCGCATCTGCAGGGACGTGGCCACGCGGCGCCCGCTGGGCTACGCCTACGTGAACTTCCTGCGGCCGGCGGACGCGCAGAAGGCGCTGGACACCATGAACTTCGACGCGGTGGAGGGCAAACCCATCCGCCTCATGTGGTCCCAGCGAGACGCCTGCTTGAGAAAATCGGGCGTCGGGAACGTGATCATCAAGAACCTGGACAGATCGGTGGACAACAAGACCCTGTACGAGCACTTCTCGGGCTTCGGCAGGATCCTGTCCTCCAAGGTGATGAGCGATGACCAGGGATCCAAGGGCTACGCCTTCGTGCACTTCCAGAGCCAGAGCGCGGCGGACTGCGCCATCCAGGAGATGAACGGCAAGGTGATCCGGGACCGGCAGGTGCTGGTCGCCCCGTTCCGGAGCCGCAGGGACCGGGAAGCCGAGCTCAGAACCAGAACCAGTGAGTTCACCAACGTGTACGTCAAGAACTTCGGCGAGGACATGGACGACGAGAGGCTGCAGGGTGTTTTCAGCAAATACGGCAGAACCCTCAGCGTGAAGGTGATGACGGATTCCAGCGGAAAATCCAAAGGCTTCGGCTTCGTGAGCTTCGACAGCCACGAGGCCGCCAAGAAGGCCGTGGAAGAAATGAACGGGAAGGACATCAACGGGCAGCTGGTGTTCGTGGGCAGAGCGCAGAAGAAAGAAGAGCGCCAGGCCGAGCTGAAGCAGGTCTTCGAGGAGCTGAAGAGGGACGGCGCGCGCCGGTGCCAGGGCGTCAAACTCTACATCAAGAACCTGGACGACACGGTGGACGATGACCGGCTGCGGAGGGCGTTTTCCTCATTTGGCTCCATCAGCAGGGTCAAGGTCATGGAGGAAGAAGGGCAGCGCAAAGGCTTCGGCTTGGTGTGCTTCTCCTCCCCGGAGGAAGCTGCCAAAGCCATGACCCAGATGAACGGACGCGTCCTGGGCTCCAAACCCCTCAACATCGCCCTGGCCAAGCGCCAGTGAGGCAGACACTTTCTCACCTGCGGGGTTTGCAGCAGGTGCGGGAAAGCGGAGATCTTCACCTGCACTGACTTCAGTGAACCTCGAATTCCACAGTTGACTGCATTTATTTTTGTATTAAACTTTGTAATATACTTTGCTTTATCATACAAATCCAAATTATTTTTCCTTTTGTAGAAAAATAAATGAATCTTAGATTCATTTTACAGGGGTGTGTCTTCTGATAAAATTGTATGTTCTGAGTTTTGATACAGTGTACACAGCAATAAATATAATAATCGTTTATGAACCAATCAGTCAGAGAATTATTTAGGGTTTTTTTTTTTTGCGTATTTTTTGTTTCTCATTAAGATGGTTAGCTTTAGTTTATTTTATGAAAATATGCTCAAATAGACCTCGAAGTAATTTCTTTTATCAATATTTATAACTTTTCTTCAAAGCTTTTGGTAACTCAAAATTTGTTGCTAGTGAACATTAAGTTGAATATTCGGTTTTGTTTTGGATTAATGTTTTTAGCTATACTTGGGTTTCTTATACATTGTATCCTGACATCGTTATTATCTAATGATTTCAATAAACGTGGTGTATGTTTTCAGTACCTCCTACAAACTGACTTCAAGGGATATATTGTTGCTTTACAAATTGATTTGCTGTAGTTCTGCTATTTGCTAGTCATCTAAGTTGTTTACTTGCATAGCACAAACTTACACATTCCAGAAGTTGTAAACCTGTAGCAATTCAGGTGACACAAAGTTGGTTTAAGTTTCTTCATATCAATGGAGCTTAATGATATGCCTTAAAGTTTTGCCGAATACCAATATTATGAAAATAGATATATTTAGAATATAGAAACCAATTTAAACTCTGTGTTTTTGAATCTGCTTTGTAATCATCCATGTTGTGATATTCTCTCGATTTTCAGGAAAGTAAGTGTCTTTATTTTTATAAATTTATACCTCTTGTTATTAGACTGTGAGTACTGTGTGACCCCATTAAGATGGCCTTCCAGCTTTAATTGATCTGAAACTCACACTCACTGTTTGCATGAGTGGCATTGCTTGGACTGTTTTCTAGCACACATTTTATTCTAGTCCCATTCCTATATTTTCTGCCTTGCCTTTAATACCTCTATATTACTTTGTTCATTCAAAGTACTTTATTATATTAGATCATATTATATGCTTCAAATCCATTGAGACAATGAGACAAGAGTTATTTATTTACATTTAAATCATTATTGGATAAACTGTGATTCACTTATACCAAAGGTAGCTAAAAAGTTATTTTATTATCACTGCATTTATTGTATTTGGTTAAGTATTTCTTGTGATTTTATATCCAAATGTGTTCCATTGATTACTATTGCAAAAAATATTAAAATATTTTCCTTGATAATACTTTGTAAATAGCAAAAGTCTGTTTCATTTTATTTTGTTGAAATTATAGCTACATATGTATAGGTATATTCTTTGAATAATTTTTAAATTAAACTCACTTTTAGATGGGCTGAGGGTTTAGTTCAGCAGCACAAGTGCCTACCTGTTAAGCACAAGGTTGTGATTTTGATCCTTGGTGTCAAAACAAAACAAAACAAAAAAACAAAAAACAAAACAAAACAAAAAAAAAACTCTCACTTGGAGGCAGTGAAACAGTGTGGACAGTGAAGAAGATTAAAAGAGTAATGTATAACCTCATGATGAAAATAGATCTTCTTTAACTTTGTAATGTATTCCAGAGTTTTTTCTGTATGAATATACATAACTGATATAAGAAAAATAGAAACTTAAAGATTTTGCTTACCCTTGCATTCTGAATTTAACAGTATTCTAGACTTGACTATCATGTCACAAATAATTATTTACATTACAATTTCAATGACTTTTATGTTTTCTTCATTGACTATTCTATATTACAACTAATTTCTTATTAATAAATATATGTTACTGGATTACTTTTTCCTTTTATTCTTTTTTTCCCTCTATCATAAACAACTTGGATATAATCATCCTGGCCAACTCATTAAGCAGATATGTTTAACTATCTTCTCAAGGGAATGAAAAAAAATAGAATTGATTATTAAAAGAGCAAACAATTTAAAATTATAATTTTGGAAAACAGGGCCTAAGCATGTCCAGAGAGAAAGTGCCAATTGCTGCCTAATGGAGTGCCCATTTCCACGGCCCCTAAGGAGCAAATCATTTTAACATTCTCGCTACTTAACATGGTATGTAAAAGTATTTTATCATTGCTTTATTTTACTTTTTTGTTACTATTTTTTTATTATAAAAGTTAAACAACATTTTTCATATTTATACACCACTGTATTTTCATATTTGCTAATTAATGCTCTGTGATCTTAAACTATTTTCCCAGTGGAGCATTATTTGTTTACGAAAATTTGTTGGCTGTTTCTCCCCAGTATTCTCAGTTTTAAAATTTACTCCAAAAGAAATTTTAAACTCAAAATATTTGATGTTATTTATTTGGCCTTGGCTTCATGTTTCAACACATCCACACAATTCATTGATATTATTGTCTATCTACTATATATTATCTTCCAGAATTTTAAATTCTCAATACTTTCTAACCAAAACTCATTTGCAAATGAGTTATAAAATGAGTTTTTAAAAAATAGGGTAAGTCTTTTAAATATACCTTCCTTTTCAGTCTTTACAGTTTAATGGCACTATAACCATTGTTGTAATGGATCATTTAAGAATTAACAGCATGCCAGCATATGTTATCCAGTGGGTTTCCTTGTTTGTATTATTTACTGTGATTTAGTGTGGATGATAGTTTCACTATCATCATTTTTCAATAAAATTATTTTTTGTGTCCATGTGTCTTGATAAGTAACTTTTCTGATAAGAATTCCAGAAAGATCAAATTGACATAGAAATGCACTGAACTGGTTCTGTCACTCTGACCCTTAATACCCATTGGAAAGCCTGTTAAGGGATACAAAACTGCGTGTTATAGCTGATTTTATAAATATGTACCTTTTATGATTTTAAATGAACATTATTGATAAAAATACAGCTTTTAAAATGGTTTAGCATCAATATTTTAATGCTCTCAACATTTTTATATATTTATAGAGAAAATATTAAATCTAATGTATATGAATAATTTTTATTTCTTTTATTTTAAAATATGTTTTGCTTTCCTAAAGATCAGTCCTCTTATGAATAAACCAAAAACACTGTACATTTTTAAGTGGGAACACTAATATTTCATGCTTTTGAAGGCAAATTTCTATGGGAAGTAGCTTTTTTGTAATTATTGAATTAAAATGCTAGTGTAGATCAAGTTTTCACAAAATGAAATCCACTATGTTAAGGACGCTTCTGAATTTAAAGTTTACGTTCAGTTTTCATTATAACAAAATATCCACTAGAATATTTTACAGACAAATGATTTAATTTGGCTCACACACCAGTATACGGCCATGCTGGTGATGGCCTTCCTGCCAGCAGAGGCCTGATGAGGTAGGGTTCCTAACAGGGCAGGAGGCAGGAAGCAGGGGCTCTGCTCTCCTTGGTTTCTCTTCCTAAAAGTCCCTAGTACCTATTCATGAATGATCCAGTACATCACCTCCTGAAGGACCTACCCTTAAATACCTTAATCAGATTAAATGATGCTTGCTTAATACCTCAAAATAGGGATTCACATACAAACCTTGAGGAACATATACAAGCCATATCCAAACCGTAGCAATTTTTAAGACAAATTCCCCTAACATCTTGAGTATTTACAATGATTTTATTGGTATTATATTTAAAAAGGTTTTACAATATATTTAAAAGGAATAATACAGTATGTAAGATAATTCTTAAATTTATACTTTGAAAACTGAAACATACTAAATACCCTTCTTATAGTTTTAGATTCAAGTGCCAGAAAATACTAACACTGAACGAAGTCTGACAAAATAAAATGCTCAGAGTTAAGGCGTACTCAGACATGGCATGGGATATCAGGGTTTTGCATTCACTTTTGAGTCTCTTGGCTCTTCTTTTCTGTATCTTGTCTCTATCATCAGTCAATGTAGAAAGATGATTGGAAATCAAGAGATGAAGTGGGAGAAAAAGGTAATGAAAAAGGAGATGAAGTTGTGTATGTACCTGCATCGAGTCCACACAGGGAAGCAAAGGTTGTGTCCTATGTACGTGTTCCTAACAAAAGAAAGTTGCAGGAATTCCTGTTATCACAGCGAGGCAAGCAATATTTATCAGGTGATAACTTTCCCACAGACTTCTCAATCTTCCCCATCACTTTTTATTGCTCTATTTTGGTAAGTAAATTTGACAAGTTCTGTTTCTCGAATTGGGGAAAGAATTAACTTTGCAAATTCTGCGCACAGTAGTGTTATGCACAACATAAACAAGGTTAAAGATGGATCCAGAAAAATGCAAACTCTAAACTCTGCAAATAATTCATTATTTATATCTCACTTGGAATTTTACTATTTGATATTTTTCTTTACTCTTTTAAGTCTTGTTTATAATTAATTCTGCAAATCCTGCTTTCTTCTTTCAACACTGAACCAAACTGTTGATTTTTATGTCATTTTTTGCATTCTTAAGGAATAAATTATGCAAATGTGTATGGCTTTAAATATAAATTTGTTTTTGGTTGGTAACTGAATTTGGTTTGCTACACGATATCATACTTTATTAGACCTAAATTATGAACAAAATGAAAACTGCAGCTGAAAAGATCAAACTCATTTTAATCTCTATAGATTTCCACTCTCCAAAAAATTAATAGATTATAAATGGTAAGGAATGTTTCAATATAAATTTTTTAATAAATTACTGATTTCTTGATTTAATTCAGTGTTTTCTAAGCCCAGAATGTTTTCATGCATACTATTGTGTACTACCGGAATGAAGGAAATCTTCATTTATTGTATATATTGCCAACTATTAAATATTATGTATCATGAATTTTAAAAGAGCATCTCCTTTTGCTAATTTAAAGGATACATCTTGAATAAAATCTAAAGTTTCACAACTACACAATGTCTCCAATATATAAAACTCCATAATTAGCACTCCATTAAATTCTGAGTTACAAATACACTTGGATTTGAGATTTTAAAGTCAAATTATCTGGCAAGATTTCCAGAAGAAATATGATAGCAATGTGCCAGTTTTGTCTCATGGTCACATCTTATCTTAGCACTCAAAGAATGTTCTTAACTAAATCAAAATCTTCCTGAATGAACTAATTGTATCTATTTAGCAAGAGAAAAAAAATTACCCTTTTGGTGACATTCTTCACAATAGAGCAGGAACACTTAACTTCTGAGTGACATTGGCAGTTTGTATAACAATATTGCATAATTCTTTATTAATTTGGTTCTATCTACCTAATGTTAAATACTAAAAATATCTCCATTTTGAAGTTCTCCCATGTTCCAGCAGCATATTTTATACCTAAGGGAAATGTCACCAAAATGATGGTTGATATACATTCTTTGTTTTCTTTTACATGCGGTTAATATTGATTGCTATTCAAATTTTGTTTGTATTATTTGAAACAGTACTTTCAGTGAGATTTTCTCATCTTGAGAAACTATCTCTGACATTGTAAATGCATTGTAGTGCATTTTAAGTTTGATTTACATCCCATTTCTCTGTACTTCAGCCAGTGCTACACTGATATACCATAAATTTCATCACTAATCCTTTTTCCTCAGAGTTAAACTAGGCATTTATAACAGTAATTCCTCAGTAATTAGTTAAAGAAATGCCTCATTTTGAGTATAAGCCAGATCTTAGAATTATAATTAGGCTGATTTGACACATCATTATTTTAGTGAGTCACCTGGAGAAACATAAAAATATCATAATCTTGGGTTAGTCACAATTTTTTCACTAATATTTCCTTTGTAGTACTTATATAAATGACACTTATAGATTACAAATGGCAAAAAGCCATCAGCATTGAGGTTACATAAGTATATTTAGTTCTATTATTTTGATATTAACCAAAGTCTTAGTATATTGGTAAAAGAAAATTTGAACATGTCACAACACTTCTTAAAAATCATAGATTGAGGACTGGGTATTTAGCTCAGTGGCATAAGTGCCTGCCTTGCAAGTGTTCAGTCGTGAGTTTGATCCCTGGTACTGATAAAAAAAAAAAAAAATCATAGATTGGCTCCCAATACTTTAAAAGTCATTTGCAAATGTTTACTGTGAACTAGGATATGTTTCCTTCTCTGGTTTTTTGACACATTTTAATTTTATTTTATGCTAGTATGTCTTTTTGCCAACACATTTAAAATAAACTGATTTTGCTTCAGCTACTTTAAAGTGTTAAGATAATCCTACTTCGCTTAAAATTTTAATCTTGGTGTTGTGCTCCACAACTGTTTATGAGGAAAAACAAAAAAAGATTGATTCTTAGAAAATAAATATTCTAAATATACATAGCCAGAAAAGTGTTATTATTCCATATTTCTCAGGAAAAAAATTCATTTTCTCTTTTTGGATGATTTTTTTTTTTCCCTAACCAACCCCAAACACTAAGATAATGAATTTTATTCATTAGCTGGAGTATGTAACATGTTCTTACCTTGACCAAAAATAGCCTTGAGAAGGATAGAAGTTGTTTATAAGCAAAAACTGGAGATACAAATGCCAAGAAAAGTATGAATTATTGTACGGTAATACCTTCCACCCACACACACACACACACCCTTACACACTCCCATCATACACCCAACCAGCAGTTACCGGGAGGAAGCTGTTTATTCATTTCTCGTGTCTGGAGTATTCTCGCCTTAATCCCCCTGATCCTTATCTTTCCCTGCCCATCCTCTAGGTCCTACTTTAAATAGAATATTCTTGCAGAACGTCTAATTCTCAATACTCTACTTCCATTTCATTCTATTCAGCTTGCACAGCACATATTAAAGGGTCAAAGGAAGTCTTACAATCTTCCTAATTCATTGCTAGGAGCTGCCACATTGCAAATTTTTGTTTGTAAGTACAGTATCCATCTCATTAAGTGGTCCTGATGTGGACGCAGTGACCTAATGCATGAATGAAATTCAGGAAATGACCCAACATCTTTCTGGAGTCTAAAGATTTAAGTCAACGTACACACTCTATCTTTATCAAAACTCTTAAATTTATGTTACTGAACACTTGCATAGATTAAAAAAAAATCCACAGTTCTTATCAGACGGATACTTACATGTCTCTCCCTTGTGCACAATTCTGTGACTGGGTCAGTTTGCATTATTATATTTCTGGAACTGCTAACTTTAGAAGCCATACCCAGCCAGACTAGATTAAATATTGATTCTCACCAATAATTTGAGCTCACAGAAGCAATAGACAATTTGGAAGCTAGATCCAAAAATTAAGAGATTTACTTCTGAAAATGTCAAAATTGTTTTTTTATTCTTATTTTTCCTTTTTCCTTCCCAAAGGTCATGGAAAGTTCTTTATAGGATATTAGAGTATGAAAGCAGTAAACTCTTTTTTGATATCCAACAGCATGGCATAGTCTTGTAAGGAGAAAAAGCATCTTTTGGAACAGCTAAGGAGGTTCATAGCAAATATTTTTTAAATTTTAATATTTGAGTTAAATGGTACATATATTTGCCTATTTTCCTTGACTTGGTCTAATATGCTAAAGTTTCATCTGTGTGGAGCGTGTGTCTATGCCTCATTTTTCTGTAGCTATATACATGAATATGCCAGGTTTTGTTTGTTCATTCATCATTTGATAGACACTTAGTTTCTTTCTGCTATCTGTCTATGATGAATATGACTGTGCTGAAGATTAATGAACATACTTTTTGTTTCACTATATATCG